GAAATGTCCTTTTTCTGCAGAATCTCTGAGGTCACTCTTGAAATTTCTGAGATTTTCTAGCAGAAATTTGACTTTTCAAATTCAGAAATTTCCTTTTCTACAAATTTTCTGAGATTAACCTCAACATTTCAGTTTTTGTAGTTAAGTTTTGACATTTCGCGTCTAGAAAACTTGAGATTCCGCCAAAAGATTTCAAAGTTTTTGGTGGAAATTTACTCTTTTCCCCCCCCCTCTATCTACATTGTTGTACACTGCTGTTGAAATTTTCTCTGCACAAAACCCGGCTGGTTTGACTCAAACCAGCCGAGCGTGAAGGGAAGAGCTGGCTGGATGAGGAGAAGCTGCGGCAGACAGCTGGGAAACTCTGGCTGGGAATCCGATGACCTCAAGCGTCCCCAGTGATATCACCGCATCTCCTCCGCCAGCTTTATCCCGTTTTATGAACCATCATTACTGCTGCTCTCCTCATGCAAACAGCGAGGCAGCGCGTGAAAAAGAACGCACAGTTCGTCCTGAGAACTTTGAAATATTCAGTATTATTTGAGAGTCACAAATTGCAAAAACCTCACAGCTGTGGGTTATTCTCTCAGCTGTCGGACTAAAATCAATTTACAATACAAAACGGTTATCTCTTCTTTTTTTTTTTAAAGCATTTTCTATGTTGAGCCACTGTGGGGAAGAGTCCACTACTGTGTGTGTGTGTGTGTGTGTGTGTGTGTGTGTGTGTGTGTGTGTGATGAGACACACACTGTCCAAACAAACACGTTTTACTTCTGCTCTGTGATGAGGCATCAACACTGTGAGATCCAGTCGAACTGCTGCAGACGGTGTGGAAAGCCGAGTGGGAATGGAGTAATTCAGCTGACAAGTTCGGACTTATCTGGGTTAAACACGAATGTCATGTCGGAACCAGAGAATGAAACTTCACCGACAAGCTACAAGTTATGAGTGTCGACCAATGAGATATCCTGAATACGAGACCATGTCGGGCTTCAGGGTTTCTGAATACAAAGGAAGTTGTATAAACGGCTAACAGACGAGTTGGTGAAGTGTCATCCACTGAGTCAGATATATAAATAGATCAGCTCTTGCGTGACATTCAGACTTAATTCTGTTGTCACAACACCGTGCGTTTTGTGTTTTTCCCACATTGGAAATGTTGATATTTTTCACTTCCATTTTTAGTCTCTAAGTTACCAAATAAGCCAAACATGAAGTGGATAAAATCTAGTGCTACGAAAAAGTATTTACCCCCGCTGACAGATTTTTTCCCCGCTTTCGCTGTTTGACACCCGTGAAGCTTTTTATCACCAAACTAAGTGATAAACTGCAGAAATACAAGATGCAGTTTTGAAATCGTGATTTCATGTATGAAGGGAAACTTAATAAAAGTTCCCCTCAGTGCTCAGTGGAAGCGAGGCGTTAGAGAACACATCGTCTAAAGACAAAGCGCATTGCTAATAAAGACTGGCATCACACGTGTAATTTTTGTAGCAGTTCTTAAAAGTCTACCAAACATTCACCGATAACGATTCCTTCTGTGTTTACGTCTTAGTTACACATGCTGGAACAAGCAGACGTTCTGTCAAACTCCACCTCAGGAAACACTTCGCGTCATCGTCCTCCTGCCGCTTCCTGTCGTCTTCTTCGTCTTTTCCGTCAGTACGAACGTCCGGTTGTTGATCACGTGACTCGTGAGACGCGGGAATAAAAGTTTCTGTTGCATTTCTGCTGAATATGCAAAACTTTGACATGACTGAAAAACCACACAATCCTACGGCAAACATTTTTTATATAAAAAACGGGGAGTTTTCTTTTTAAATTGCCGTGTTTCCATTAAACAAATTTATTTTCGTAATTCCAATTTGCACAAATTTATTATCAATGGAAACACAGTCAATGTTTCGCTGACCACCTATGATGTTTATTGGTTTATGACTAAGTTATGTCAGCCTGAAGAGTCTTTATGTTTTTTTTTTTTTTTTCTTTTATCTTCTTGTATGTTGTTTTTAACTTTTTTTGTACAAACACTTTGGATTGTCTCTGGCTGAAAGGTGCTATATAAATAAAGTAGCCTTGCCTTCATTAGCCTACCATGTTACCACTTGGAACTACTTCCTCATACTTCAAAATAAGAGCCTCAAACAGCAACAGGTGTCAAGCTTAAGGAACTCACTGTGAAAGATTTGCACTTAAAATATTGTGGCAATCTCTTTCCATTAGATATCATTGACCACTGTAGCACTATAGAGCCAATGACTGCCTTCTGCCCCGCTCCATTAACGGACATAATACACTACATTACCAGGAATGTGGGGAACATGTTCATTTTCTTCACAGCCATCTTTCTATGTTCACTTAGAGGTTCTGTCTTTTCAAATGTGAATTAAAACATGAGCAAGGCAGATTAAAATACAACCCTGGAAGTTCAAGGTAGCAGTACCCCACAAAGCGAGATGTCTGAAGTCAGTCATTAACGTTCCCTGCCCTCGGTCGGCATCTGGACTCCAGCGGTGAGGAGAACCTGACATCTGGAGAGGGGTGCTTCTGTGTTTTTGTGATGTGGATGAACATCTGTGCGTCCCGGCCCAGCCTATTCATAGAGAGAGACCACAGCAGTCATCAGGGGGCCTCACATCGGAGTGCATCTCAGTGCAAAGGCTTCATTTGGTAAGAAGGTTTTCTGTATGGCCAGGTCTAGAATCTTGTCTTTCCAGAGTTCCCAGTTTTCACTTTATGTCCCTGCAGTGCTCAGGAATTCCTTCTTATCATTCTTGCATTATTTGTGTTCTCTTCATCATCTTCTGTTGGGGCAGCAGCATCAGAACCAGTGACCTAAAAAGGCTCAACAACCTGATGAAGAAGGCTGGTTCTGTCCTGCAGACGACTGTGGGACCTCTGGAGATGGCGATGCAAAGAAGTATGGACAACCCTGACCATGTCTTCAGCCAAAAGGCTTGACTTGGACCACTACATGAGATCCTTCCTGCCCAAAGCCATCACCATCTACAGTTACTCCTTTAAAGAAATTGAATTAATATGAGCTACAACAACATTTGAGTCCAGTGTGAGGGCTTGCACAGAACCCATGAAGCAAGAAAAGATGTCTGCTGCTGTCAGACAGGAGGAAGCTTGTTTCAACAGGGAGGGCTTCATCCCTGGCCCTCAGTGGTGGGACAGGGGGGGATCATCTGTTGTGTCAACACACTGTCACCTCATCTATCCTCTGAACACCGGACTCGGAGCGCAGAGCAGCGCAGAGAGCTGGACTCCAAGTACCCAGCTTCACTCTGCCAACTGTGCTGAGGAAGCAGCTGGTATCTCTGTGCCAGCTTCCTGTAGTCAGATGAATCCACGCTGGCATGGAGGGGCAGCGGATGGGCAAAATCTGCAGACCGTGATTAGTAGCCATAACTTTGGGGAACCAGTTACTGAATGCAGATGAGCGACGTGAGTTCGTTTCTTTTTACAAGCAACACTAATTGCCTTTCCATTACAAATGTGCGCAAAACATTGTTGATGTTGGGCCAGTGTTGAAAAAAGCCACAATTGCCGTGTTTCCATTACACAACAAATGCAGTTAAAATCACACATGAATAAGTCTGTTCACGCGATAAGCCATTAAAGAAATTTGCCATGCCATCATCCACTGAATCTGTTAGCCATTTTCCTTTCAACTTCACAGTTCTCATCTGTTTTTTTGTTGGACAATCACATCAGATACAGATAAAGTACGTTGAAGTTTGTTGTTTATTTTTATTTTTTTAAAAGACAGCATAAAATCCAGGGATAAAACCCTAAAGAAAAGCGTGTATTTGACTACATTTACCTGCTGCACCGTCTCTATGAAACCCGTATCGAAGCATGCCTCAAAAGATGGGCGACATTTGACCTCCAGTGGTCAACAGACAGAGGGGTGCCTGTGACATCAGAAGACTTCAGCCTCAGCTGCCGCTGAGCGGGGTCACACCCTCCCGTCTCCCTCCACCTCTGGAAATAGACCCTGTTGCTAAAGACGTTACATAAGTGCTGCTTTGTTGAGTGGATGATTAATGGGCTCAGAAGCCCCGAGATTTGTTTAATCTATTTCAGTGTGTCTGTTCCTGCTTGCATGACACGTATTCTAGGAAGGAAGTGGATGTCCCATCGCTTCGCTGATGCTAGTGGTTATATTTCCATCCGTCTCTCTCAGGCGGACGGCAGCACGGATCTGTAGATAAGCAAACCGAAATGTAGAGAAATAAACACAAAGCTGTTTGATTTGCCTGCATGGAAAACATGAAGGTCCGGCTGCAACAGGCTGTGTAATCCGAAACGTGACAAAAGATGGGTAGGTAGAGGGATTATGAGTTCACTAAAACGCCACATTAGTGAATTCTAATTTTTTTTTATATTTTCACATGGAAGCATTGTTAATTTTAATGCCGGTTTCTCAATTGGGAAAACTCAAAATGACGTTTTGCCTCCCAATCAGCTGATTGGGTTTCAAATAAAATCCCCAAAACTATGAAACCTGAAAAAACACAAGAATAATCAGTGACATAAAATTGTGCAAATTGAAATTACAAAAATCAATTCGGTTAATGGAAACAGGTCAGTTTTGGCTAAAAAAAAAAAAAACAAACTAATTTTCATAAGTTTTTGTAGTACAATAATGAGGTGAGTTTTTGTGGCCATAACCAAATTAGTGTTTAGTGTAACAGTGCTCACAGAAAGTCGTCTGCTTTTATACAAGCTCACTGCAAAATTATAATATATATATGTTTATGGATATTACTGCTAACAATGTCACAGCGCCACAGAACCTTTAAAACCAAAACGTCCCTTTAAGATGAGTGACATCATCTGGAATTTTCATTAAGAAAAAAACTCCAAGATAATTAGGGCCACAATAAAACTCAACATAACTATTTGTCATATAAAAGCTGCCATGGCAACAGTGTATATAAAGAACTGGTGACTCATTTTTAGAAATTTCAAAAGTGAGACTATGTGTTTTCCTCATTGTTTATTTCCTTCCTGAAAAAAGAAACTTATTTCATCAGACTTTTTGACAGAGCAGGCCGATGGCATGAATGCAAAATAAATACAAGAGCCTCGTGTTGCTATGTTAAGAATATTTTATAGTTGAATATTTTTTTCTCTGGCAGGTGTTAGCTGTATTAGATACAGACACTGCTTTCCAGTTTTCCCTCCAGTCGGTGTGAGTCTCATCTTGATCCGTCCGGGTTAGCACAAATAGAATCTGAAACATTATATACATACGATACAAAAATAGATTTCACAAAAAGGATCATAAATCGACAGCAGGAAGCTTTATAAAATTACAAATATGTTTCTGTTACAAAAAGCCTTTTTTTGCTTAAATAACTCTTCCAGCTCAAGTTTTGGATGAGAGAGTGGAGCCCGGGGTGTCCGTCAGGTTGATGTTAGCGATCCAAACTCGTTTTAGTTCCAGTTCTACAGAAAGCAGATTGAGAACGTCCCTGCAAGCACTTAGAGTCCAGAAAGTGTGTGTGGACCGGCTGCAGCAGCCTTCAGGGTTCTGCTGCTATTCTCTGCAGCTGCATCCTGCTGGGCAGCTGACCAGGCGCGTTTTAACTGCTCAGCAGGGGTCCAGAAATCCACTCCCTCCCTCCGTCATGGCTACTCTCCAAGGTGACAGAGAGCTCCTGGGTCACATGCCTGGGGACAGACAGACGGACAGAGAGACACGATCAGGGATCTGAGACGCCGGATCTATTCTCAGAGCGGCAGACGCTTGATTTAACAGGCTGGACGTCGTAAAGCCGTCGTTCTCTGGAGGCTGACTGCCGAGGTTATTATAGTTAACTACAGCTAACGAAATAATGAGGACTGAAATCGGGAAAACATGTTTGTTAGCTGAAGTAAATAAAAATTTGTGGATTCATGAAAAGATAATTACAGGATCAATATTGAAATATGCAGTATGGCATACCTCTAATGTCTACTGACTGGAAGGACGGACAGATTTTCCTGAATGTTCCATCTGCTCCCCTCTCTATTTTAACACAATGGTATGATTCCTTATCCTCACATGTGATTGGCCACAAGGCTGCCATGCTACCAATCACAACAAAGTTCTGCCGTGAGCAGGGCGGAGCCACTGAGAGTGAGAGCTGAGCAGTGAAAGGAAAACAAAGTTTACTCTTTGGCCTAAATCAGATTGTTTGGAACAACATTTTCGTTATTTGAATGAATATGAATACATTTGTGATTCAAATGACTCATTTTTAGAAATTTCAAAAGTTAGATGTTTTTCTCATAGTTTATTTCCTTCCTGAAAAAAGAAAACTGAACCCAAATTTGGATCTGTATATTTTAATTCCTTCTGTTGTAATTTGATGCTAGATTAAAAAGAAAAAGAAAAAAAAATCTGAACATAAAATCACATAACCTGACCATGGTTATTATAGTCAAGTAAAACTATCAAAAATAACAACTTCGAATTGCTTTCAGCAGCCAACAGGAAGGACGATGGTAGAAATGGAAAATTTATCTGTTTTTCTGGAAAATGTTGACAGTTTTTTGGGAAACTAACAGTTAAGGTAAGGATATACTTACAGTAAATCCACACAGAGACTGCTAGAAATGAGAATTGTGCTAATCATGTTAATTTCAAATGTTAGCTCTGTAATCAAGATGCCAATATTCGGACCTAATCCTGCTGAAATGCAGACTGTGTACTCCTAGTATTAATAATTCAAAATGGATCATGAGGAAAAGGCTGTTTGAGTTTCTTTATAGCTCCATATATTAAGTTGGTACCCACTGTTGTTTTAAAAGGACATTGTTGAAAGAACTGAACATATTTTTTACATCTGACAAAAAATGTAAAAGGTTAGTTGTCTGTAATTTGTTTAGTAAAATGTCAAAATCATATGTTGTAATTTGTAGTTTCACTTTAAGATAGCTGCGTCTCATAAACCGATTTTTACTGCAGTTATTGTGTTTCAGTGCTGCAGAGAATAACAGCTCTGCAACTGTTGTTTTATTTTACCATTAACATTTTATTGGTAAAGCAGTTTAGCAGTTCTTACTCAGAATGTTATAAAAAGTTTAATGCTGTTATTTATAGATGAAGAGAAAACAAAATTTAGAAATCTAATATTGCTAGGTCAGAGCTTTATAACCTTAGGGACACAAGATGGAGTTACATGTGCAAACAAAAGTAGAAAAAGATCCAGGAAGCTGGAGTTGTCGCTGCTTCCTGCTAATTTCACAACGCTAGCAGTTGGGTGACAAGGTGAAAGGCGACCCTATGTCTGTGTCTGATGTAACCCAAGACGTCTGTACAGCATGCCCAAGGCCCTTCGTAATCCTGAAACATCATTGTGTCTTGGAAAGCAGAGGGTAGGGCCTCCCGTGGCGCTCCGTGAGCGGTCGTTAGCATAGCTGACACGCAACTGAACGCCCACGCTAATCCCAAAGAGCGGCGGGCGCCGTGGTGCAGGGCGGCTTAATTACTCTGGTTCTGACAGACATCAACACTCACTCTCTAATGTCCGGTCCAGGTCGGCGATGAAGTCCTCCAGTTCTTTGGTGTCGCCCAGTTTGGCTGCGGTGGGGCAGGAGGGAGAACAGAAAGATGTGTGGCGTTAAAAGATGCTCCATTTATTTTCTGTGTGATTCATTACAGTGATGTTTATCTGATTGTAGAGCTTCTGAAATGTTCTAAAATGCCTCAAATTTGGATTTCTCTGGGTTTAATATGGAAGAATGAGACCATGGCATGAAATAACTTTTGGTTCAGCAGTAAAAATGTATTAAATTATTTTAATATTACATCTCCGTTGCTTTTGCTTTTTTCACTTAATTTAGCATTTTTTCAACATGGTATTCATGTCAAATGTTAACATTAATGGAACGATCCCATTCAGCCTTTAATTGTTTTTTTGTTTGTTTTTTGACTTGTGTATCTGTGTGTGCATAGGCTAAGAAAAATATGAGAATAATAATATCTTGTCTTCTCTGTTCCTCCGCACTGTCGCCCTGTTTTTTGATATTTTGGATTTGCATTTTAACTAGAGGTGTCCTGACACATTATTTTTCACTTCCGATTTTTGCATTTTGAACTCGCTGATTCTTCCATTTATTCCTCTTTAAATCTTTGACATTGTTCTCCTTCCATGGAGAGAGGGGAACAGTGAATGCATTATAGGTGCTGAGCTCACGTTTGGGTGACATCAGAGGCGGGGAGGTTGTGGTGGGGGAGTTCAGCCTCTCGTCACTGAAGCTGAAGCTATTTCTGTTGAGCGAATCGGCACCTGTCAGGAAGACAAAAGACACACAGATTAACGTGACACCGACACGGCCGACTCTGATCTGTACCAGCGGAGCAGCTTCACTCCAGTCTGCATTCTCCGTTATTGACGGCCTTTATCTACTGCCTGTCATCTACATGCAGCGTGCGCACGTGGCCGAACTGTCTCCACAAAAGTACAGAAAAAAAAAATAGTTTTTTCATGACAGAAAATCTGCAAAAGAAGATCTGTTTAACTGTCTGTTTGCTCTGCCTCGTTTACATTCATTTGGTAATCGCCTGGGTAGCTATGAGATACCTGTATTCAATAAAATCCCCATAGTTTCACAGTCTTACACAAAAAAGTCTTTCACAGGCTGACACAAAAATGAAAACAGAAATATTTAACTTTAATACGCGCACCTAAAGAAAAATACAAACTAAATTTAGAAGTAGTCATAAATAACTGAGTTATTTTTGAGAGTTTTTTTATGCTTGCCAGCTTGAAGTAGCGTTCCTTTCCTTAGAGTAACTTTAGATCCAAACAGTTGAATTTGTTTCTCTTGTAAGTTAAAGTGAAATAAGTGAAAACTGTAGGAGCTTGCATTCTGCCAGCTGACAGACACGTTGGGGAGAGATGATGCTGTTCAAAGATAAGAACATCTTCTCTTCTCATTAAAAACACTTCAAAGAGCAGAGGGACAGTAATTGTTTGCAGAGTTGACACCTTGCAATCAGAGATGAACCAATCAGGAGTTACCTAACCGATATCCAGTTGCAATTCCCCCCACCGACATGACAACTTTGTCTTTTTAACGATTGAAAGGGATAAAAAGGACTCATTGTGCTCCAGCGTCTTTGTTTTCGGTTGGAGTAGTTTTAAACCAAACATTTATGCATAAAATCATACGCCTGCATAAGCTGCTTCAGTCTGACAGCTGTTGGTTGTTGTAAAATAAATCAAATTAATTATAAAGCCTCCAAAAACAAAACTGTCCATCAGAAAAAGAGCTGGTTGAGACCAAAGAACCAAACTGAAGACTTTTGTCATCCAGTGTTTGGTAGAAAGAGAGAAGAGAAAAACCTATGAATTGTACAAATGGAAATTATTGAGCATGTTTTAATTACCATGCGGTTAACTGATTTACTGCTTATTGCGACAGGCCAATCGATAAGTCAAGCTGAACCTGCCTCGTTGCCATTCCTCCCCAGCTGCAAGTGAGAGGAGAAGACGAGGCAGAACTCTGCGCTCCAGACTGCAGCTTAGCAGCGAGTCAGATGTCAAGCACCTACTTACTCCCCACTCTGACCCGCCCCCAGCAGGAGACAGGGGTCACCACACACACACACACACACGCACACACACACACACACACACACACACACACACACACACACACACACTCTCATAAACAGGGAGTTAGCATCAGTGTTTGACTTGAACTCTCCAGGCACCTCTCATATTCATCTCTGCATCGCTTCCGTCTTCAGTCCTTCTTTTTCACAGACACATCAACACGTTGGGGGAAGCAATGGGTGGGTTCTCTTCATCTATCTGCCCCTTCATCTGCACATCCATCCATCAGGCAGTGAGACAATAGGTCCTCCTTACACTGGACAGCTCTCTCTTCATTAGACTGCCCTGGAGAGGACAGGAATCTGATCCCTTCAGTAAATCCTGAGGTTCTTTAGCTCCAAAAAAACCCAAAAAAACAAAAAACGAGTTCAGACACCTTCCTCCTGAGCCTGTACCGCAGATATTATGCAACTGCAAGACTAAAAACAAATGAACCCAAAATGAAAGCTTGTTTGGATGATAACTGGTAGACTTTGAATATCTTCACGGTTTCCTCTACGTGTAACAGATCGTGACGCACTGCCACAGCTAAATAAAACCTTCATCTTTAATATATTAAAACAATGTAATCCATTTGTGGTAGATAGATATGCATATATATAGATATGCACTTATGCTAACCATAACCCCAGTTTGAAATGAATTTAAGTATCATGAAAGACTAAAAAAGCAACCCTGCCGGCTCCTGCCTGTGTGCTGCGCTGCTTTCAGGAGTGAAGTAAAACTGGAGACGATGGTCTGAAGTAGAGGGAGAGAAAAGGCGAAAGACGGTATACCTACTGGAAGGCGAAGACATTTTTAGTTCAAGCCTATGAAAACGACCCTAATGTAAACGTGTTGCATTTGAACAGCAGGACATAGCTTAATGTCAAGTAGGTTATCCGTTGAGACTCGATTAAATTTCCACCATCACCGTTTCAAAAAATCCCTGATCTTGAATATCCCAAAAGTCTTTTTTTCACATCCTTCATTGGAAGTCTAACGTGTGTGTGTGTGTGTGGGGGGAGGGGGGGGATGGAGCATTTCCACATATGCAGGGCTGGAGGATACTTTTCTCTGTGTGTCAGCATTTGACTCTGACCCAGATGAGTATCTGGAGCCAGCTCCACAGCTGGGGTAGACAGAGTTTTTTTTAAAAAACCACTCTATGGTCGAGTAATATATGAATAAGTGACAGTAATCTGTGGAGAAGAAGCAAGACTGGGGAAAGCTGTGCCCAAATTATGCTACGGTGGATCTAAGCTTTAGATTTGAGGGGGAAAAAATCTTCCACTGCTGTTTGTTGAACGGCAGACGTAAACTAACCACGCTGCTGTTTAGGCACCTAATAGACGTCCACCAGGGGGCAGCAGACTTCAAATATCTGTAAAATGTTAACTCCATTTTACATTTACTCCAAATTTAGAACATCTTATTTTGTAATTTTTCAATTACAATTGTGTTTAGAATTTAAAGTAATTAACTAATAGCTTCATTATGTATGTTAACAGTCACAAAGCAATATGTTTGAGGTGAAAGGATGTCCAAAAATGTCACAGTCTAACAATAATCAATAATCGGAGGAATGGAGTAATGTAGCAATAATTTATAAAATATGTATACATATGAATAATTTCTTAAATATCAGTTTAAGCAAATATTTCACTAATAAGATTATTATTATTTTTTAAATATGTAATTATTTAGTAATTTATTGGCGACATGCAGCATCAGATGATTTATTTCATCTGTCAGACCCACCAATCAAAGCTCAGTGGGCGGGGCTACAGTTTCAGTTACTTCATGGTGCACTGGAGCAAATGAGCTATAACACAACTGTAGAAATATCATTATCTTAACACATATTACACAAACTTTTTTATATATATATTTTAGATGCTGTAATTTAATCATGCAAATGATACATGACTTATATTTTGTGAACTGTGAATAATTTTAATGCACTTATATTTTACTCATTTATGTCTGTTTTGTTTTGTTTTTATGGCCACACGTTTGCATAATTTATGTATTGCATTCTGACACCCTGCAGTGTTATTTATTAGGTATATGACGTTCCTGGTCATATTCTGTCATAGAGTGAGTTTAAACAACTTGTTATTGGCTAATTAGTTGCACACATCTTAAATCGCAACATATGCAGTCAGGGACGGTCAGTTAAAACAAAGAAAAATCATAAGAAAAAAAGATTAAGTCAGTGACATAAAGACAGAAAAGGCCATATGGAAAGAAAAGCCGGTCGGGGAGGAAGCGGTAACACTCACTGTCGGTGTCGCTGATGCCGCTGTCGCTGACGCTCGCGCTGCTCCTCCTCTTCACGGTCTTCAGGTGCTCGTCGTACCTGAAGTGTCGCTTCTCCACGGGCGACGTGAAGTCTTCGATAACCGCGTCGAACTCGCACAGGACGTCGCTCAGGTCCTCCTCCTTGACGAACTTCGCTGCAAAACGGAGGAGGCAGCAGCTGTCACTTCTACAGTTTAGGTAATTATTATACATGAAACCCTCCGACCAGGTGACAGAGGAGCACGAAGCTAGAGGTTGTTTAGCTTTTATTATAACTATTTTTATTATTATTATTATTTTAAATAATAAAAATGGACCTACCTGGAGTCTTCAGTTTCGGGGACTTCATGATGCCACCAGTCGGGTTTTAGAATATCCGGAAACTTCCTAAAAACGTCCTTAAGATAAAATATCCCAATCTGTCCCAGCGGGAAGCGATGAAGCTCTGATGCTCTGCAAGTATACCCGCTCAGGCCGAGGACTGGCGCTTTTAAACGAGCCCGGCTCGGAGGGGGCGGCGCGTGCGTGCGTGCGTGTCTGCGTGTTCATGTTGGCGCGCGTGACTAATAAAACTTTTCCCGGTTAAACTGCACCGCCTCCCTGTGCTCCCCCCTCCCCCAAAAAGATGTTTGTAAACAACCGTGGTGTCAGCCGCCAAGAGGAGCAGTAATGCACATGTTTTTCTGATGAGGATCCAGTTGCTGTGTCACCGGGCAGACCATAATACCCAGTGACCACACGGATATACAAGAACCAGCATCATCTTCAGTCATATCTGGGGGGTTACTAATGGATCAGGTGCTAATATCAAATGTTATAACCTGCTATTATTATCCTAACTCGTCACGCCAGGGGGGAAGTAAAGGTAAAAACGAAGTACACTCCCTGCTGATTCCATCTAAGGGAGAAAGTAGCAGCCATGTGAAAACTATTTTGTTTTTACGTGTTCTATGAAATGTAAACCAAAAATCATTCTTTTAATACGACCAGGTTAGGTTATGAGTCTGATTGATGGTTTCACAGTACAATTAGTTAAATTAACTACTTTGTCTAATGTTAAGATAATAAATTAGTATGTTGATAAGACTTAAATTTGTATGAGACTTTGGTTAAAGTGAACGTTTTTTATATTCTATATAAAAATATAAAAACGTAAAATAAATAGACAACATATTTTCTAATTACATTTTTACAGACAACCAACTGAACTTTTATAACTTTGTTTATACGTAGCCATGTATGTTAACTTTATGACCAATTTTCTGGTCAAAGAGTGATTGTTGAGCATAATACTAGCTTAGTAAAAGGCCAATTTTATGTCAACTAACATCAACAAACATCACTTAATTCACATTTTTTTGTCAGTAACAGTTCTCTACCTGTAGCAGAGACATGTCATACTGCAGACAGTTTGTAGAAAACTGAACAAATAAAAGGTTGAAGGCTAACAGCTAAGCTAGCTCAGGTGTTATGTTTTAGTTAATTTTAGCCAAAGAGAACAACTCAAATTCAATATTTTCCGAATACAATATGTTAATATGTGAACACTTTATCGAAGTGTGAGGCTGCATTCTCTGCCAATAAATGTCCATGTTATCATAAGACATCATATTAGTTGAATTCTGTCAAAGATGTCACAGTAACAAATAGTTGAATTTCATTTTTCATGTGAAGATGCCGCCCTTGTAACGTTAGCATAATAACACAGAAACCGTGTTAGTAAGAAAAGAGCGAGAAACTTATTTTTTAGTTGTTGTGAAGTATAAATACAAAAATGAGAATCTATTTGACTGTTTTTAATTGCGAGGATTAGATAAAATGGGTGGTTTCCTCAAACTAGCTGTTAGCCTTCCACCATGTTCTTCTATTTCCTTCAAATTCACAGCAATTTGACATCTGTCAAATAAAGATAAGAGAATGGTTATGACCTGACAGGACTTGAAATCAGAAAATCTAAGTAATTTGCGAGAAATAGAAAGCATAAAACTGTTTCCTCAGACAAACATGTTCTAAGTCTTGATGTTTTTGCAGAGTTCGTGCCTTCATTATCTCTGAGGTTGACGACAGGTTTATAATTATGAGACAGGTTTATGTACCTGGCAGGGTGTTTTGGACAAATCTTCCAAGCAAAACCAAGCTTATACTGCCATCTGCCGGTAGAACATCAAAGCTGACAAGACCAGCAACTAAAGGACAACTTCCGAACCAAACCTGAAAAGTTTAGACACAACTTCGAAGTCGAATAGTTTAAATCGAAGTTAGTCGAAGTCTGAGGTGAAATGCTGGACGCACTTAAGTCCAATGGACGGGCGTAAAAACTTTGAGACCAGTACTCATTTTACAAGCTCGTCACAATGTCTTCCGAGTTTGTTTTCATCCTCAGTTTTCTCCTACAATTTGCTAACACTCAGAGATTACTTAGTTATTTCTTAAGATGCCAAACGTGATGCGCTCCAAGTTCAGGGCTTATTCGAGTTTCACTTTGATTGACCAGTGAGGACCAAATACACAAAGCCAGTAATCATATTTATTAAAACACAATAAATTACACATCTACTTACATATGTACATTACTTCAGTTCCATTTCCTATTGTATTTGTAAGCCTAAAAATGTTATATAAATTGCAAACACACAAAAAAGTGGTGTCTAATTTGTGTTATAGCTCACGAGGGGAAAAAAAGACGTAACATTTACACTGACATCTAGTGGTCAGAAGAGAGATTGCAAATAACTCCCAGTCAAGCTTTACGAAAAATGATATAGAAGTTGGTTAAATAAAATGTAAATTATAAAAATATCTTGAAAAAGGTTGTATGTGCTGTCACATGTTTATATCAGATTTATACTTTTACATTTGCTTCTCTTTCTCTGTTTATTTTTATTTGAAGAAGTCAGTTTGTGGATTATCTGTTTTGGCGTTTTGGTAAACAGGTTGATCAGATCTATACATCCTGAACTACTTTGCCAGACAGTATACATTTCTTCTGGGTACTTCTTCTGCAGGAAGTACTTTGACATAGTGCTGAAAGATGTGCTGCACACATGTATATTACATCTACCTTGTTACATCTGGGAAGATTAACTTTTTTTTTCTTTTTAACAAACTTTTTTCTTATTTCACTGCAACAAGGACATTTCATATCAAATGCTGTATCCAGATGCAAATAAATATAAAAACCATTTATTATTTTCAATCTTATGATCTGATGATGACGAACATCTTGGTGTTGGTATGAGATCCCAATAAATTATGTTAATGTTTGTGGTTGTAAAGGGACAAAACTGTAACATGTTCCAGGGTTGGTAATAATTCTGCATGTCTGCCTCGACATTCCAGACGTTTATTGAGTGTTTTTTCCTTTGTTTTCTCAAGCAGGTGTCACTCAAAGTCGCAGCCTAGAAGCTCTAGTCTCATGGTGATGGAGTTCGACCAGCTTTTGGGGACGACTCGGATAAAGCGAGTGAAGATGGGAGGATAGATGTAGTTCCTCACGTGGTCGTTGTTGTTTGTGTTTCCATCAAACACCTAGATGAATGAAAAAGAGAGAGAGAGAGATAGAGAGAGGGACAGAGAGAACGTCTTTCAACATCAAGAAAAGCTTCAGTCCGAGAAAGCACACCTGTGCTCTCTACATCAGCTCACCTTTACAGTTACATCATCACTGTCCATGTAGTAGGTCCAGTGTATCCCATTGTCACTGTACTGAAGGGCAAACTTGCTGACGTACATCTCCTTCATCATAGACTTGGCTCCCTGTGTTATGATGCCTGTGATCTTCTTAATGCGAGGCAGTTCCACCTGGAGCCACTGGTTCATGTCATTGTTCTGAATAAAACACAGCACGAAGACACTTTGTGAAATAGCTGACAAATTTCCCAAGGTTTCACCTAATTTATGTCTACACAGAATTAGAACAATTTTTATTGGAAGTTTTTCCATTTTGTCACATGACAACAAGTGATTTCACTGTATTTTATTGGCACTCTATTTAAAAGACCAAAACGTAGAAGTGTACAGGTGGAAGGAAAATAATAGATGTTTGTCAAAATTCCTCCAGAGCTGAATGTCTCCAGTGATTACTACCTTAGCTCTCCATGCGTTGATGGCACCCTGCTTGTTGAGGCGACCAAGAGAGGCTTTCCAGTTTCCATAGTACCACCTGGACTCCTGAGAGCTGGCTGTGATGCATCTGTCCTTTATCAGCCCGCTCTCCATCCCCAAAGGCACGGAGCAGCCTGAACAAAGACAAGCATAATCTTTCAATGCTTTAGCCACTAGGTTAGGATGTAGCTGGTCATGGAGTTCAAGGGGAAATCGACTATTAATTACCTTTCCTTTTTCTTTCTGTTTTTTTTTCTTCCTTTTGGATTGCTCAAAGTAAAACCAAGGAGAGCTTCACCTACCGTTATAGTGATTTGATTGTCGCTTCTGTCCAACAATCTGGAATCAGTGTAATTATTGCTGTAACTGCAGACCAGTGAAGCTAATGCTGTATGATGATGAGCACCATTTTGTAATTAAAAACAGAACCAATTTTTCTTCATATGTACCTGAACCCTAACATGCCTATCTCAGATATGATGTAGATAGTTGTGTTATAAAACACTCCAATCAGGCATTACATTATGACTACTGAAAAGTAAAACAATTAACACTTATCTTTAAATCATCACACCTGCTCTGAGTGGCATAAACCAGAGAGCAAGTCATTGTTTTTTGGGGGGGGTTTTTTGTCCACAAAAAACTAGAAGCAGGAAAAATGAGCAAGTGTAGGTTTAACAAACATCTGATTGTGATGGTTTGAATCCCGGATCACAGCATCTCCAACGTGACCGTCTTTGTTGGGTGTTCCTGTTCCTCGTCTACAGTTGTGGGTGTCTTATCAAAAGTGGTCCAAGAAAAGAACAGTGGTCAACCGGGCGACAGGGCCTGTTTTGACATTGTAGGCATTGGAAGTGTGAAGCCACCAAATAAGAAAAAAGATTTGGGTTCCTGAGTCCAACTGTTGGAAATTACAAACCCACAGCAAACCAAACTAGTGTCTCTTTGACTTTCATCCACATTTACTTGCTAATCAAAACTCTTACCATCAAGCTCACAACCGTAGAACTCCATGCGGATTGTTGCCGCATTGTACCAGGTGATGGGGTGGAGCCTAATGAACTGTCCAATCAAAGGAGGAAAGAAGGTGTTTCTCTTTGTCTGAGAGGCTTCCTCGTTTCCTTGAAACGTCTGAGTACACAAAGACAAACACGGGGGCATAAACAAGTGATCGTGCGTGTGTCCATTCTGATAGTGAACGATTCAAACTTCCCTACCTTCCAGAATTCCCTGCTGTCGCCTTTGTAAAAGATCCATTTCCGGCCGTCGTTGCTGTACGAGATGGAGAAATTTGTGGCATACTGGGGCTGCAATAGCTGCCAGGCTCCTTGTGTGGCCACCTGGCTGATCACAACTGGCCGCTTGAAGTT